AATTGTCCCGTAGTGCCCAGGGATGTGCAGGTTAGGGTGGGTTGGCCGTGCTAAATTGTCCCGTAGTGCCCAGGGATGTGCAGGTTAGGGTGGACTGGCCGTGCTAAATTGTCCCGTAGTGCCCAGGGATGCAGAATAGAATAGCCTTTCTTGTCACGTGTACTCCAGTACAGAAATACAGTAAAATGTTCTTATAACGGCTGCCTTTAATGGCACCATCTTAGGTACAAGCACTTAGGTACAAATCTTGGATACAAAGAGGAATAAAATGAAAAGTAGTAGCAGTACTTACAGTATGTTTAAAAGAAAGTTGGAAATAAGATAGTTATAACATAGTTAAAGGATTGACATTAGAGTTCGGTAGAGTTTTAAATAGCAGCTGCGCAGCACCTCTAGGTTAGGTACGTTAACCTGTGGGACATGTAGTGTCTCAGAGATAACAGGAACTGCAGAGGCTGGAGAATCTGAGATAACAAGGGGTAGAGCTGGATGAGCACAGCAGGCCAAGCAGCATCAGAGGAGCAGGAAGGCTGACGTTTCGGGCCTAAGAAGAAGGGTCTAGGCCCGAAACGTCAGCCTTCCTGCTCCTCTGATGCTGCTTGGCCTGCTGTGTTCATCCAGCTCTACCCCTTGTTACCACGGACATATAGTGTTACAGGGGTAGGACTGTGGGGGTGCTCTTCAGAGGGTCGGTGACGACTTGTCGGGCCGAATGGCCTGGTCCCACACTGCAGGAATTCTATGGAAAACTAAGGCTGATGGGCATTGGGTGGACCAACAATTTATGGGTGAATCTTAGACACTGCTAAATCTGTCTTTTTGTTCTTAAAGAGAGGAAAACCTCAGCTAAAAATGTATCGTCTCTCACAGCAACTGTCTGCTTTTGTTCTATCATTTTGTAAAGTTTCAAAGAAGCGAAAGAAACCGCCAAAAAAAGTTGCTGGCGGATTTTTATTTCTCTCTCTCTCTCTCTCTGTCTTTGGCACAAAAGCTCAAACCCACCCTTTTAAGGCAAAATAGGAACTGGTGTAAAAGTTGCAGCAAAGGGGAACATGCGGATTCCGGGCTCTGGTGGGGGGGGGAAGGTTGGACTTGGTGGAAAGGCTGAGCAGTGATTGGTTGTCAGGAGGCGGGTTGTACCAGCCCACTGCATTGATATACCGCCCAGAAGGACAGCACTGACTATAGTCGCAGTGAAGATTTCTCGGAGTTAATTGAGTTTGTTGTTGTTGCTGCTGCTCTAGGACAATGAGCGGCTGGCCTGAATACGTTAAGACGCTGATGGGCTACAGCGATGTGGCAGAAGTTGCTATCATCGGCCAGGAATGTAAAACCGTTTGGGCGGCGTCCGAGAACAGCAATTTAGGCAAAATCAAGGTAAATGCCGCGCTCCCCTTCCGGGGAGGGGAGGCTCCCCTTTCTAATTAAACCTGTCTTTTCATCAAACTACTTCTGCCCCCTCCCACCCACCCAACCCCCAACCCACCACCACCACCAAACACACCTTTTACAGCCTACCCTCACCTTCCTTTCCCCTCCTCCAGTCCCTCATTTTTCCCCTCCCTCCTCTTAGACCCTCACCCTCACCCCCACCCCCTCCGCGTGTTCTTTTCCCCCAGCCCCACCCGAGAAAGTGCAACTTCCTGGTTCTCTCGAGTGCCCGCCCCTGGGAGGAGGCTGTGCCCCACACTCTTCCTCCTGTGGGGGTGGTAAATCTACGTCGTTTTTCCCCTTCCCCTGTTCCGGGGGGTGAAAGTGCCCCCACCGCCGCTCAGGGAGGGGCTGCGCTCTGGCTCCGCCAAAACTTTTTCTGTCTTTTGCTGCTTTCTGTCTGGGACCGCGGACAAACCAGGCAGAGGGCTCAATGGCGAGTGAGCTCCTCTGCAGGGCCAGCAGGGGGCCCGACGGAACGACTGGCCTCTAGCTGGTGCAGGGAGCAGACGAAACGTGGAATCGCGGTCAGTCTGGTGTTTCGCGGATGCTTTTTGATTCCTGAGCAGTTGTACAGTTTGTAATTAACCCGAGTAGCTGGGTGTTGGGAGTCAGTGAGTGTGCTGTAGAAGGATCGAATAGATTAGGCGGCTTCTTTGTCTAAGCTACTGACTGGCAGCCGTAGTATAGCCAGTAATTAGTTTTAAAAAGTTTTTTTTTATTAAACTACTTGCAGTTTTCCAGTGCTATCACACTGTCTAATCAGTTCTAGTGTGGTCAGGGTATGGAGCTATAGGCCGCTCATTGATTATCTTTCAGTTTCTTCTCAAACATATGAACTATTAAACACCACATCTGCGTGTAAAGATTTGAAATGAATGCAAACTTTAAGTACCTTTTCTTTAATGTAACTAAATGTTTTTAAAATTACCATCTTTTCCAATTTCATTTGATGAATGTGGGTGTTGCTGACCAGGCCTTGGAGTGCACGTTCATAGTTTCTTGAAAGTGGAGTTGCAGGTAGATAGGGTAGGGAATAAAGGCTTGCCTTTATTGGTCACTGTATTGAGTATAGGAGTTGGTAGGTCACGTTGTGGCTGTATAGAACACTGGTGAGGCCACTTTTGGAATACTGTATGTGATTCCAGTCTCCCTGCTGTAGGAAGGATGTTGTGAAACATGAAAAGATTTACAAGGATGTTGCCCGGGTTGGAGAGTTTGAGCTATGGGGAGGGGCTGGGACTGTCCTCTCTAGAGTGTTAGAGGCTGAGGGGTGACCTCTTAGAAGTTTATAGAATCAAGATGGGTATGGATAGAGTGAATTGCTAAGGTAGGGAAGTCAAGAGGGTGAGGGAACACCCCCCACTTGCCCTGGATGGGGGCAGCTCCGACAACACTTGATAAGCTCGACACATCCAGGACAAAGCACCATCCAGGACTCGATTGGCACCACATCCACAAACATCCCACTCTTTTTCCCACCCCCCCGCCACTGATGCTCAGTAGCAGCAATGTGTACCATCTGCAAGATGTGCTGCAGAAACTCAAAGACCCTCACAGCACCTTCCAAACCCACGACCACTTCCATCCAGAAGGACAAGGGTAACGGATACATGGGAACACCACCCCCTGCAAGTTCCCCTCCGAGCTACTCACCATCCTGACTTGGAAATATATCGCTGTCGCTGGGTCAGAATCCCTGGAATTCTCTCCCGAAGGGCATTTGGGTCTACCTACAGCACATGGTCTGCAGTGGCTCAAGAAGGCAGCTCGGCCCCACCTTCTCAAGGGGCAATTAGGGACAGGGCAATAAATAGTGGCTCAGCCAATGATGCCCACATCCCACAAAATGAATTTTTTTTTTTTTTTTTTTTTTAAAAAGCCATCAGCGTTCTCTGGTTGCTTATAAAGTCACTATAGTCCCAGAGAACCATAGGGATGTTCCCTCATCAGGCAGGTAGATGACTGGTAGTGAGTTTAACTTGAGGCAAGGGGAGGGATTGAGAAGGTGGGACCTTCTGGACATTTTAACCAGTGCAGGAATTGATGCTGTGCTATTGGCATCACTGCCAATCAACCAACGGAGCTCTTATAGGCACTGCTTAACAAAACTCTTTTTTTTTTTCTCTCAGCAGCCAATCAGGTTTTAAAGTAGTCCTGATATCTTGGACAACATCAAGTGCTAGACTTCCTCCTTTATTTTGTGGGGCCCCAGAGTGGTTTATGGAAGGACCTCTGCCTGCCAGTGTCACTTGATCTGGTTCACTATGGTCTGGAACCTGGGTAGGGGACTGCTGACATTTCTTGGGGATGATTGGCTGCCTCTGAAATAGAGGTGGAGTTTGGTGAAACTGGAAGCTGTGGGCTAGCAGTTTTTGAGTGAGGATGAGCGTGGATTAGAGTTGGATGCAGCCGCAACTCTATTTTCAATGTTTAATTCATTCAAGACTTAGGTAAGTGATTGCTGGAGCAGTACAGATGGATAATGGAGCTAATTGCTGCTGTTTACGCAGAAGATGTCCTAAACATATTGTGGATATGGGTGAGGAGGAAACGACTGCAGGGGCTGGTTCTTAACATGTCATCCTTTTTTCTTGCTGTGGTCTTAACCTGCCAATGTTTCAAATCTAACTTTCTCATCACCTTTCTCACCTAGACTCACTGATGTTTCTTAGGTCTGTGTCCTGCCTGAGATTTGTGTTCCTGTTAATTCTGGCCCCTTGTACATTTCTGATGTCCATCACCCCTCTGAGTGTCTGTGCCCCCAGCCCTAAACTCTGTCTACCTTCCCCTTTTTTTCTAAAAGAAAAGATATTCCTTGAGCCTGCGACCTGTACCAAAGCTTTCCCCTGTCCCTCTTGATCACATCTTTTTAAGCTCTGACTTTGACTTTGTTCTGGTACTGTTTCTTTACGCTTCTTAGATAGTTAAAGGAAAAACACAAATCTGAAGGGCATGTGATTTTGGGGGGAGGGTGGTGGGGTGGGAACACAATCTGGTCTATCTCAATTAAAATCTGCAGGTACAGTCTCAATCCAGTTCAACAGCTGTCACTCCAAATCTCTTTTTTTAATAGTCCATTGCTCCTGTATAGTAGCAGATTCCTTTCTTTACTGATATGCATGCAGTAAATAAACTTTTCCTTTGCATGATTCTGTACTGTAAATGCACTGAGTAACATTTGTGCCACACAAGAAAATCTAACCATTGCCTCTTGACATTCTGTGATGTTACTATCAGTCCCCTGCCATCAACATGTGGGGGATTACCATTGATCAGAAACTTAACAGAACTGGACCAGCCTTGTACTACGGCTACAAGACCAGGTCAGAGGCAAGACATCCTGCAGCATGTAACTCCTCTCCAGACTCCCCAAACCCTGTCCACCATCTACAGGGCACACATCAGCAAATTGATGGAATACTGTCTGCTTGCCTGGATGAGTGTAACTCCAACAACACTCAAAGTTTGACACCATCCAGTATGAAGTAGCCCACTTGATTGGCACCGCATCCACTCCCTCCACCACTGACACTCCGTATGTGCTACTGTCTACAAGATGCACCGCAGAAATTGACGAAGGCGTCTTAGACAGCACCTTCCAAATCCATGACCACTTCCGCTTAGAAGGACACGGGCAGCAGATACATGAGAACCTCCATGCCGCCCCCCCCCGCCGTCGCCGCCAAGTTCCCCTCCAAGGCATTTGCCATCCTGACTTGGAAAGACATCACTGTTCCTGGGTCAAAATCCTGGAATTCCCTCCCCAGGGGACATTGTGGGTCAACCTATAGCACGTAGATTGCAATGGTTCAAGAAGGCAGCTCACCCCCACCTTCTCAAGGGCGAGTAGAGATGACCAATAAATGCTGGTCCACCCAGTGACATCCATAATTAGAGTAAAAGAAATTCTATTCTGGGTGGAACGTTTTGGAGAAGGAGAAAAAGGAAATAATTTGCAGCCCATCTATATGGATTGTAAGGAACCAACTGAATTTCAGGCACCAATTCAATTTGGTAGGTATTGGTGGTGGTTAGCCATTACAAAGATCCTGTTCCAAGGACTGTAAACTAAATATTTAGGGTTCTAATGCCCCAAAAAGAAACATTCGGGAGACATGAGTTTACTGACTGAAGATCCATGTACGTCAGTGGTAAGAGGATATAGTGAGAGTTAAACAGAAAGTGGAGACTAAATGGATAATGTTAAGAAATGCAGGAGCACTTAACACGTCCTTTTTTAAAAAGGTGGGGAATGTTTGATCAAGAAAGTGTTGGAACATCACCAAGGCAAATGGCCTGAGGCAAGATTGGAACCACATGATGGTCTGTAAGTTTAAATAGGCAGTTTTTGTAATATTTGGCCGCTAGCTTTGTACAGGGTCACGTATCGTGCTGAGACTGCATGTAAGGCTGTAGGTCCTTAATGGACTTTGTGTTCAGTAGTCTCAAGCCCTCAAAGTTTTTTGCACTGTCTTCCAGTCACTTTTTTTTAGTTGCCTGACTGTAAGGTAGCCACTGTCTGGAATATGTCAAACTATAAATCTTTCAAACAGAAAAAAGTAGAAATTAAACCTGACTAGGACACCAGCTAGTCACAAACCTGAATGTGTGAAAACCTAGCAATATGAATATCAACTGTGAATTGGATGGAGTCTATTAATTTGTATCAAAACTCCACCCAAAAGATGGGAACTGGATTCTTGGACAAGTCTGAACTATTTTCTTGTCTAAAAATGCTGCAAAGCTAGAAATGATAAACTAATCAAGTTGGGGTATTCCTTCCACAAGAAGTCATTCTTGGTTCAGTTTATTCCTCTTTGACTTTAAATTGTATCCACAATGGTTCAGCTAATCATGCAGGTGCTGGTCAGGAAGGAAATGTATACAATCCAAACAGAGGGTCCTGATTCGTCGCTCGTGTGGTCCAGGAGTGGACTTCACAGTCAGCATGGGAGTGCGTAGTGTCATGGAAGAATCTAATGACCATTACATTGCTGTAGTCCTTCCATCCCTCCCTCCCTCCCTCTCAAAGGAGAGGAGACAGAACATCATGAGGAAGGTTGGCAGTGATGGTTCCAGGAGTGCGAGCTTAAACTATATTTCTGGAAACGGTTGTTGGTGAGTAACAGGTAAGATTTGAGACACTCTCATTGGAGCAGAGAGCATCAGAAGCTTCAACTTGTCTTGCGTTCTTAACATTTAAGGATTAATAAACTTAATGGGGTAAGACACGGCAGGAGAGCTCCAGACTGTAGTCTGCTCCTCTTGCTCGATGTGGGAAGCCGGACATGTTTCCAGTGCCCAGGACATGTATGTGTGCAAGTTGCAGCTCTTGGAAGCCTGAGTTTCGGGGTTGGAGCGGCGCCTGGGGATGCATCTGAGGTGGGCAGTATTGTGGACAGCATTATATAGAGAGGTGGTCCCACAACAGACTCAGACTCCTCAGGAAGGAAGGGAATGAGTATCCACCAGGTAGTGCAGGAATCTCCTGTGGCTATTCCACTACAAAACCAATATACTGTTGTGGGGAATGACCTCTCAAAAGAAGCAGCAGCCAAATTCCTGGCACCATGGTTGGCTCTGCTGCAGAAGGAGAGATAGGGGAGTAGACAGGCATTTCTGTCTCTGCAAATGAGATTCCAGGATGATGTGTTGCCTCCCTGGAGGTAGGGACCTGGATGTCTCAGTTGCAGGCCGTTCTGGAGGGGGCGAGTGGACAGACAGTGGTCATGGTACACGGTGGTACTAATGACGTAGGACCTCATCCCTTCTTTAGGTAAAAGAATATAGAACCAAGAAGAAAGCTGAAATGTAGGACCTCCAAGGTAGTTATCTCAAGATTACTAAAATTGCTACGAGCTAGTCAGTAGAAATGGCAGGTTATATAGGATAAACACATGGCTGTTAGGATGGTGGTCTTCAGATTTGTGGGGAAGTGGGATCTTCTACAAACTGGACAGATTACACCGGGGCAAGACCAGGACTGATGTCCTTGGGGGTTATGCTTTGTTTGGGGAGTGTTCAAGCTAGTGTGGTGGGGGATAAGAACCAGAGGAGTTGGGCAGTAGATACAGAAATTGAGGGAATCTGTGTGGAGCCAAAAGAGGTAGGTGAGGTCGTAAATGAATACTGAGACTTTGCCTGCCTTACTACATTAAGGTAGGTAGATCCCATCAGGACCTAGGGATTCACCACAGAATATTGACGGAAACAGAACAAATTGCTGGAGGATGGAGACATCCTTGTATCCTCTTTCTCCACAGGTGAGGAGCATGGCCAATGTTATCCCATTGTTTAAAAGGGAAGAGATAATCTTGGAAATTACAGGCCTGTGAGTCTCATCGGTGGTGGGGAAATTACTGGAAAAGTTTCTCAGGGACAAGATCTACATGCATTTAGAAGCAAATGGACTGATTAGCGATAAACAGCGTGGTTTTGTGTGGGGGAGTTTGCACCTCACTAACTTGATGGAGATTTTGAGAAAGTGAGGAGGATGATTGAGGGGGGGTGGAAATGGCTATCTGTGGACTTCAGTAGATCCTTTGACAAGGTCCCTTGTGACTTCACCTTTTGTACCAGCAAGCCACATGGTATTGGGGTGAGCTGGCAAAGATGGATACAGAGATAACAAGGTGTAGAGCTGGATGAACACAGCAGGCCAAGCAGCATCAGCATCAGGAGCAGGAAAGCTGACATTTTGGGTCGAGACCCTTCTTCAGAAATTCAGAGATGGATACAGAAATGGTTTAGTCATAGGAGACAGAGGGTAGCGGTGAAAGGATGTTTTTCAGAATGGAGAGCTGTGACTAGTATTGCACGGATCAGTGCTGGGACCTCTGCTGCTTGTGATTTTACACAAATGATTTGGAGGAAAACGTAGCTGATCTAATTAGTAAGTTTGCAGATGATCCAAAGATTGGAGTTGCGGATAGTGAAGAAGATTGTCGGAATACAGGATATAAATCAGTTGGAGACATGGGCTGAAAAATGGCAGATGGAGTTTAACCTGGACAAATGTGAGGTGATACACTTTGGAAGGTCAAGTACAAATGGAAATTACACTGTGAATGGCAGAACCCGTAGAAGTATTGATGTGCAGAGGGATCTGGGTGTGCAGGCCCACAGATCACTGAAGGTGGCAGTGCAGGTAGATAAGGTAGTAAAAATGGCCTATGGGCATGCTTGCCTTCATTGGAAGGGGCATTGAGTATAAGGACAGACATGTTATGCTGCAGTTTTATAGAACTTTAGTTAGGCCACATGTTGTGTACAGTTCTGGTCACCACACTACCAGAAGGATGTGGATGTTTTGGAGAAAGTACAGAAACAGTTTGCGAAGATGATAGAAGATAACCAGGTGTTGAGCTGGATGAACACCGCAGGCCAAGCAGCATCAGAGGAGCAGGAAAGCTGACATATTGGGCCGAGACCCTTCTTCAGAAATGATGCTTGGTATGGGGGATTTTAGCCATGAAGATAGACTGGGTTTGTTTTCACTGGAATGTGGGAGGTTGAGGGGTGACATGAGCTTCTGTCAGAAGATTGTGGATGGTATGGATAGAGTGGAAAGTATGAGGCTTTTTCCCAGGGGACGTAGGTCTAAGGTGTGGAGGGGAGAAGTTTGAGATGTGAGGCAAGTTTTTCCACACAAAGGATGGTGAGTGCCTGGAATGAGCTGCCAGAGGAGGTGGTGGAAGCACAGTAGCAGTATTCAAGAAGCACCTGGACAAATACACGAATAGGAAGGGAATAGAGGGACACGGATCCTGTAAGTGAAGACAGTTTTTTTTTAATATGGAAGGGCAAAATGTGTTAGCACAGGCTTGGAGGGCCAATAGGCCTGTCCTTGTGCTGTACTGTTCTTTGTTCTTGTCCCTCTTTCTCTCTGTCCGCACCCCCACTTCTCAAAACTCATGAGAGCTCCCTTTTTTTTTTAAATAAACAATTGTTTCACTTTTAAGTGCATTTGTGTTGAGCATCTTTGTTCTGATTATCGTCCCAGCTTTTTGCATTCTTAAAGCACATGAAAGTCGAATTTGTTGTTTGATGTCAGTGCTTAGCTGTTAAGTCAGCCCTGCTAACCCAGCTAATTACTAAGTATTCCTTGTTCACTTTTTTTTAAAAAAAAACGTTTTTTTTTCTTGTGTTTCAGAGTGAGCAGGTTACATCATTGCTGGGCAACATAAATAACTTACAGACAACTGGAGTAACACTGGGGGACAAAAAGTATACTTTTGTTCGGCAAGAGGAGGATGATAGTATACCTGGTGGATGGAGTTGGCTAACTTTATCTGCGAAGACTGAAGACAGAACCTCTGCAATAGTTCAGAAAACATGCAGAAGTAAGTTTGTTTTTTGTTTTTGAGATTTCTGATGGGTTTCACTCTTTTGTTGGTGGGGGTGGAATTGTGCTGTAACTTGTGGCAATTGGACCATCTTCTTTTTGCAACTATGTAGTCACACTGAGAATGTTCACTCCTGATGTTTATTTAAAACAATGTATGATTGCCATCATTCCCCATACAGTTGCTTATCATAACTTTAGCTCACTAAATGTCTGACTACTGGCTGTAACTTTTTTTTAGCATTTATCGACTTCTCCTTGTCCTTTAAGAAGCTGGTGAGACTTTCCTTTTGTATCACTTCAGTGTGATTTTAGTTTAGCTGTTCTAGGGTTTTGACTCCAATGTGGGATTGGATGAACTCAGCAGGAGATCCTGTAGCTTGTGTTCAGCTGGACACAAATGTATCAGATGAATGACAGCAATAGAAAGACTTTTATTCACTTCAGCATAGAAAAGCATCCCTCTAGATTCTCCAGAGTCTAAAATGACAAAGGTGCATGTTGATGTGAAAATTTTAGCAGGTGCTAATACCAAGAGTTAATTTTTTGTGGGTCAGTCTGCACTTAACACTTAAGGTAGAATTGGCTGAAAGAGCTGGAGTTTGACACTTGATCTGACTGAGGGGCAAGTTGACTATATAGGAGACTGGGTGAAACTGTAACAGGTAAAAGCTGGTGAGCTCTGTATGGGTTCCACAAGAAACAAAAACAAACAAAAGTAGCTATAAAAGCTCTGGCAGTATCTGTCAAGTGAAATCAGTTAATGCTTCAGGTCCAGTGACGCTTTCTCAGAAGTGGGGAAGGGTCACTGAACCTGAAACATTAACTCTGATTTTTTTTTTTCCTTCACAGATGCTGCCGGACCTGCTGAGCTCTGCTAGCAATTGCTGTTTTTGTTGCTAATTTACAGCAGCCACAGTTGTCCTCCTTTATTTTGTGTGTTAGAGGTTTTTTTTTTTTTTTTTAAAAATGTCTAACGGAAGTAAAGGCTCCATTCAGACAACTAAGCAGGTAATGGCACTCGAGCAGCTGACCATCGTCAGCTATAGTGTGATCCTGAAATGTTAGCAGGGTCTCCCATGGTGCATTTGATGGTGTGCCTCCCTCTGGCCCTGAAGTGCTGGGTTCGTGTTCTGCCTGGTCCAGAGATGTATAGTAATAACCTCCCTGAACAGGTTACTTTTGGAGAACATCTATGCGGAGGAATTACTCCTGCTGAGAGATCCTGGAGCTAGGGTGACTGACCTCCAACCACCACTGCCATTGCTCTTTTGGAGATGGGCATGACTCCGACCAGTAGAGAGAATTCCCACCCCACCTCCCCAACTCCAGTGTTGCTCAGACTCCTTGATGACCTGGGACAGTCACTTTTCACTTTTTCAAAAAGATTAATTCTTGGGATGAGGGCATTGCTAGTTAGCCTAGCATTTTATTGCCTATCCATGGAGTCACGTGTAGGTCAGACTAGAGAGGGACAGTAGTTTCCTGCCCTAAAGGGATTTTTTTTTTCCTGACAATTGAAATCATTAGGTTCTTAATTTCAGATCTTTATTGAATTCAAATTTCACCATCTGGCATGGCAGGATTCAAACCCTTTCATGAAATTGCTGATTGCGAGGCAGTAATTGGCTGGCTTGGATTTGTCTTTTTTTTTTGTGTAGAGGACATACTTGTGCCATTGGAGCTGCACTAGATCAGCTTGATTTTGGGGGCACAGCCAACTGTTCAGTAATGTCACTGGACCACACTCTGGTCCAGCCTAATGATCTGGGGACATGAGTTTCCAAGATTTGCCACAGCACCTGAGTTTGAATTTAAATTGAAGTAAATGTGGAATTGAAAGCTTGACCTCATCTTAATTGTTATAATGGGATTACTGTATTGTAAAAACCCCCATCTGGTTCACTAATGTCTTTTCTCCCTAGAAAAGAAACAAAATGTGCTGGCCTTGCCTGTGGTCGAATCTAGATATTTTAATTAGCCTGTTATGGCATCTCTCTAGAGCAGGTGGCACTGCAACCTGGGTCTTCTCTCTGAATGTAGAGGCACTACCACTGTGCCACGAGAGCCCTGTACCTGAGTTAACCACATTATAGTGGTACAAATCACAATAGTCCTCTGAAATGTCTCCTAAATTCAGGGACAGAGTAGGTAGGAGGCTGGGCCTGGGTAGGATGCTCTGGAAGGTTGGTACTGACTTGAAATAGCAACTTATGGAAGTTTCCAGTGTCTTGAGCAGTTTTTTTTCCCTTTTTTGGATCTTGTGTGCAGTGTATTGAATTGGCTAAACACTGGCTTCTGAGATGCTGGGGACCTGTGGAGGAGGCTGAGAGGATCATCCACTTGGTAGTTCTGGCCAAACATTTGTATGTGTAGCCTTCATCCTTGCTCCTGACACTTTTTTTAGTATCCTGGGTTCCTTCCATTGTTGAGGATGTGCTCTTTGTGGAGTTTCCACTATGTAAGTTTGTTTTTAATTGTCCACCTCCAGTCATGGCTCAACGTGACAGGACTGCAAAGATTGGATTGGATCTTTTTGGTTGTTTGTTTGTTTGTTTTTTTTTTAGAATCTTAGAATCCCTGCAGTATGGAAAGAGGCCTTTCAGCCCATCAAGTCAGTATTGACTCTCCAGAGCATCCCACCCAGGCCCAGCCTCCTACCTACTCTGTCCCTGAATTTAGTGTGGTTAATCCATCTTGACTTGCACATCTTTGGACTGCTGGAAGGAAACTTAGAACACCCAGAGGAAACCCATACAGACACTGGGCAAACTCCACACAGTCACCCAAAACTAAAGGTGAAATGTGGTCCCTTGCACTGAGGCACCATGGGACACGAGTCTATGTAGCTTCACCAGGTTGACACCTCATTAGGTATGCCTGGTGCTGCTGTCCCTCCTGTCAACCCCTTGCCTGGACTGAGAGAAATCAATAGTATGATTCCTGGCCTGCTATTATCAATCACTTCTTTATGCCAAGGCCTCTTTCTGATGGCAGAATTTTTTTTTCCTTTTGGACTTTTATCTAGAATCTGTCAAACTTTTTCCAAAGTAAACAAATATCCCTGTCCAACCTTCTGTCTGTCGTCCACTTATACAATAATTAACAGCAGAGTATTTGTCATACAATGGCAGGATTGAACAGAGGCAGCATGGATTTGTTAAAAAAGCAAACTTACACTGGACAAACCTACTGGAATTCAAGGATGTAACTTGTAAAATTGATCAGAGGTGCCAGGGAATGTAGCTTCTTTAGACTTTCAGGATACTTTTGACAAAAGTCCCACATGAGATTAGCGTGTAAAACTAAAGCATGTGGGATTGAGACAATAGAAAACTGTCTAGCAGACAGGAAACTTGTAGAACCTTCAATTTGCAGGTGACACAAAACTGGTAGTGGAAGTGAAGAGGATGCAGTGATGCTTCAGTATAATATGGATAAATTGAGGTTATCAACTTTGGCAGCAAAAACTGTAAGGCCTGTTATTAGGACTGGCTATAAATTGAGTGGGGAAGGTCACCTGAGTGCCCTCACTTGCTAGTTGCTGAAAGTCTGCATGCAGGTACAGCAGATGGTGGTGAAGACATGGCCGATTGGCCTTCAAAGTGAGGGGATTCAAGGACATGAACGAGAGTGGCTTGCTGCAATTATACAAGGCATCGGGGAGGTCACACCTGCCCTCCTGTATCTGAGGGACAAAGTCCTGGTTATGGAAGGAGTGTAATGAAGACTTACCTGATGGATTTCTGCATTGGTGGGATTGTCTCTGAGCTTCTGTTTCTTAACATTCCTTATCTTATCACTCCCTATTCCTTTTGCTCTCCCCAAATGTATCACCTTTCTTCTTTGTTTTCTTCCCCCTGATTTTGAATTTCATATGCCACTGTTAAGGCCAAAAGATGTAGGAGCAGAAGTAGGCCATTCCATCAACAGAGTCTGCTCTGCTATTCAGCAAGATCGTGGCTGATCTGATTAACTTTTTGCCATCTAATCATCAATTCTGTAACTGATTTTTAGATCCATCTCTGCCTTGAATACACCCGTATACGTCACCTCAACTTTTGTGGTGAAGAATTCCACAAGCTCACATCCTCCAGAGGAAATCCCTCCTTAGATGGGTGACACCTTCATCTGAGATGACCCTGTCTGGTCCTAGACTCTCCTACAAGGCTTTCCACATCTCCCTGTCAAGACCCCTTGGAATCTTTGCTTCAATAAGGTCACCTCTCGTTCTTCTAAACTCCAATGAGTACAAGCCCAACCTACTCCACTTCTCATAAGACAGCTGATACCAGGAATGGAGGCACTGAGCGAACTTTCTGTAGGCTGCCTCAGTGCCACTATATCTTTCCTTGGATAACTGCTCATTGTTTCAGCTGAGGTCTGAGCAGTGCCTGGTAGTTTTAGCAAACCTCCCTGTTTTTGTACACTCTTCCATCCAATTATAAAGGCTAGTTGCACTGGTCATAGTGACTTACCACTGCTGTCCCCAATTTGGCTAACAATCCTCTTTCTGTACGAACCACCTATTCCCAACACCGAGCTTTTTCATCTTGTGTGGTATCTTACTGAAATACAAATATATATTACATACATTGGCCCCCTTTCTCTTTGTATTCTGCTTATCACAGTTTCAAAGAATTCTAATAAATTTGTCAAGACCCCTTCATGACACCGTGCTGGCTCTGCTTGAGCTAGCAAGAACTGTAGATGCTGGAGTCAGAATCGATGGTGTGGAGCTTGAGGAACACCTCCATTGCTGCTCCTGATTTCTAGCTTCCTCTACGCAATGACAGATTTGCAGAGCACCTGCACTCTGTATGCGATAATCAACAACACCTTTCAGTCGCTAACCACTTTAACTCTGACACCAGCTCTCCACCCCCACCCCACTCCCTTGGTGACATGTCCATCCTGGGCCGACGTCACCCACAAACTGGAGGAGGAGCACCTCATATTCCGCCTCGAGAGCCTATAGCCCGATGGCCTAAACATTAGAATTCACCAGTTTCATAATCTCCCCTCCCCTGGCCTCATCCAATGTCCAACTCTCCCTCTCATCCCCATCTCCTTGACCTGACACTACCTGTCCATCTCCTTCTCGCCTATCTGCCCCACCCCTCTCTTCCTCTATTTTCCAGCTCCCTAGTCCTAATGGTCTAGGCCTGAAACATTGACTCTCCTGCTTCTCTGCTGTAACTCTCTGCTTGATCTTATTATGGATTTCTAAATGCTCCACTTTTTGACTTTTCTGCCCAGCTGACTCATCCAGTTTTAAAGGATGTAAAATAAACGCATGGCCAATTTTTGTATCAAACCACTTATTCATTCCTAAACGTTCAAGCCATATCAAAACTATTTGTATCCCAAAAATAAGGGACCCACTTGGCTTTGCACTGGAAGGGATCTTCTCTAGCTTTTGTTTTGATTTAGAGAGAGATCAGCTTGTCCTGTTTTCCTTGGATCACACATTCTTACTGACCAGCCTGCCAAGTGACTGTCTTTCAGTTCTGTGGAATCAGAAAATTCCTGTTGTCTGGACAATAACCAATCTTTCCTCCCACTGAAGGGAGGAAGATTGAGATGGAAATTGGTAAATCTGTTATGATCTCAGTTGTAGGGAAAATGAGTCTGTTCTCTATATGATGTGGATAGTTAATGGGTTCATGAAAAGGAAGTTAATGCTTGACCAAGGAGACCCAGTGGATGTGCTGCATTTGGTTTCTCTGAAGGGTCTCATTGAAGCCTATGCTGCAGGTTGTAATTATATAATTACAGTCCCATATGTTCTTTATATAACTTAAGACTGAGATGAGGAGGAGCCTTTCTCTCAATTTAATTCTGGCCTATGGTGGAGGCAGGTTCAGTCAATGCATTCGTAAGGGCATTGGATGATCTGGGTAGAAGTGATTGGAATTCAGTAAAAGAACTGGAGGAGGCCTTGTGGGCAGAATGTCCTCTGTATCAATGCTTTCATGATTCTGTGGATTTCTTCACAGGGCAGTGAATCTTCTGGAATTCTGGGGGCTGTGGAAGCCTGATTGTTGAATGGGTTCAAGACAGAAATTAATAGCAAATAGATGTCTGGATGTCAAGGGATATGGAGATGATCTGCCACAATCTAGTTGGAATAGCATGGCTTGAAGCGTTGAATGACTTCCTATTTTCTGTGTGCCTAAGATAAAAGGGTGGCAGTTTTTTGTTAGAGCTGAGAAATTCTGGTTGCCCACTTGCAGAGTATTATGTTCAATATGAGTACTTCTTTTAGATGGGCCTAGTTGTGAGGTGGTAGGTGATTTGGAAAGGATGAAATGTATGAGGGTATTTTTCCTTGGGTATGAAAGATTTAGGAGCTAATTTTAACTGAGGTGTTTGAGGTTTAAAGATGATGACCTGGAAGGTGAACTTGGTGTAAACTCTGTTATTGAGGAAATGTATGCAGTGGAAATATCAGAAAAGCCCTCCTGCAAGTTCCCATAAGTGTCAGTGATGGAGGGGGTGCAAATAGGGGAAGTAAATGAACATGGATATTTGCTATGTTTGACTTGTATGGGAACCCACCAGACAAAACACACAAGAACTGTGGATGCTGCAAATCCCAAAATCTAAAATTGCTGGGGGGAAAAAAAACTCCTCCAGTCTGGTAGCATCTGTGGCGAGAGAGTTAACACTTCAGGTCCAGTGACCCCTTTTGGAGTGCACCTATTGTTCCAATCCCATGAGCCTCCTCCACTTGTTCCAAAACACCACCTCCAATTGGTTAGACAGCCCACTGGAGCAAAACCCTAACTCTTAACACACAATAGAAACCTATCAGACTTTTTACTCCACACTATGGTGTCTGGGTTTATGATGCCCTTAGCCAGTGTGGTGAGAGTTTCACTTTCAGAATTTCTGTTTTGACTTTAGTTTGGAAGAAGGGGGAGTCAAAACATTACAGAAGCATCCCTCTGCCCCTTCTGAAAACTGCTGTAATTATCAGTCTCTTTCACTTCTAGGGGTAGTTCTGAATGAATTTCTGTTATAGTCCTATCACTGTTATACTACTTAACCTCCGCCAAGTTTAGGCAGGTCAGACTTTCCAGTGGGGAGAGGCTTGGCACCTGCATTGTTGGCATGCTTGTTTTTTCATTGTCATAGAGTTTGTGACAGAAGATTGTCAGTTTTACAGCTTGTCACTTTACTCAAATGTGACCTGTGTGCTATGTCATTAAACTAGAACCTTGCTGATTTAAAGGTTGAGCAGCAGCTTTATGTATGTCCTAATCTTGTGCTTCTTCTCTCAGCACTAATCATCATGGAAAGCAAAAACAGCGTTACGAAAGGAACCAACTTACTCTGTTATGTGGCCCCGACAGTCGCCCACCTGAAACAGTCTGGTTACTAGTTGTGAAGTTTCCATTTTGGCAGTGTGCTGGTCGACCAGTCTCACCATTGCTACTGGGAGATGAAGGTTCTGTGCTCTCTCAAGTGTACACATTTGCCTGCTAAAATCAATTTTTGTGCTATTGATGTAACTTGCAACTATATTAAAAATGCAAAATCGAGTTCACAAGATGTTCACGTTTTTGTATCCAGTATTACTGCCTTAGTAACTGTCCAGTCTTTTCTAAAGTGCAATTGAATAAAAAGAAATCTCTCTTGCATGAGCAACTGCTTTGACTTTGACTTTGGTCTAATCACAATTTAAAGGCATCTCATTGGTGAGATGTTAACTGTCTTCCACCATGCATCTGCAGTGCCCTTCTGCAGAAAGTTTGCAGTCCCTTCCAAGTTGACAGCCTTCAAACATGTCCAGCTACTGTTTACAGCAGTTTTGATGCTCCTTGGGTTGCATGCATGAGATGTACTCTTGACCAAATTTTACTTCTAGTGGCGATTAAAGCACAACATGTGGGCAGTCATTCTGTACAATCATCTTTCTTCTGTGTAAACAGCAATTGGGAAATACAAATTGCTCACTCTTTTAAACCTGTTTACAATACTTCAACCTAATGACCTCAAACTTAAATATGAAGCATCTTTGTAGCTTTAATATTTTTATGCAATTTCATTAGAATGAAATTCACTGCTTTCAAATAAAGTATCAGTTTTAGGATATAGTTCCTAGTGTGACCATTCCTCTCTGCCAAGGGAGATTTTCACCCCCATCCAACCTGTTGTCCTGTGAAATCAACTGCATCAGTTGTTTCTCATTCTCCAGGTGCTACCTGGAAAATTTCTTATCTCTGAACTGGCTTAAGAAAGTTCACCCTTTTTGTTTCCTTGTCATCAGCACTTGGTCTGTCTTCTAGTTGATTAGTTTCTAGCCCCTTTTTTTTCACACCTTGCCTTGCCTTGAGGAACTCTTGGAGATTAGATGATTGACCTGTGACCAACCATCTTCCTTCTGTGTTGGGTTTGACTCAAATTAATGGAGCGTTTTCCCTGTGATTCCTTTTGACTCCAGCTTTGCTCGGGCTCTTTGTCATACTTGGTCAAGGGCAGTTATTCCCATCTTTTAGTTTCCATATTTGAACAAAACTATAATTAGATCAGGAGCTGTCTTTGCAGCTGTCTGAATCCTGGCAGCACAGCAGGAGGCCATTAGACCCATTAGGCTCTACACCACCATCACCACCCTAACAATCTCTCCTCTCTTCCCAGTAAGTAACGTTGCAGAGATAGTAGGAACTGCAGATGCTGGAGAATCTGAGATAACAAGGTGTAGAGCTGGATGAACAAAGCAGGCCTAGGAGCAGGAAGGCTGACGTTTTGGGCCTAGACCCTTCATCAGAAATGGGGGAGGGAAAGGGGGTTCTGAAATAAATAGGGAGAGAGGGGGAGGTGGATAGAGGAGAAGATAGGTGGAGAGGAAACAGACAGGTCAAAGAGGTGGGGATGGAGCCAGTAAAAGTGTGTAGGTAGGGAGGAGATAGGTCAGTCCAGGGAGGACAGACAGGTCAAGGGGTTGGGATGAGGTTAGTATGTAGGAGATGGGGGTGCAGCTTGAGGTGGGAGGAGGGGATAGATGGGAGGAAGAACAGGTTGGGGAGGTGGGGACGAGCTGGGCTGATTTTGGGATGCGGTGGGGGAGGGGAGATTTTGAAGCTTGTGAAATCCACATTGATACCATTGGGCCGCAGGGTTCCCAAGCGGAATATGAGTTGCTGTTCCTGCAACCTTCGGGTGGCATCGTTGTGGCACTGCAGGAGGCCCAGGATGGACATGTCTGAGAAATGGGAGGGGGAGTTGAAATGGTTTGCGACTGGGAGGTGCAGTTGTTTATTGCGAACCGAGCGTAGGTGTTCTGCAAAGCGGTCCCCAAGCCTCCGCTTGGTTTCCCCGATGTAGAGGAGGCCACAATGGGTACAACGGATGCAGTATTCCACATTAGCAGATGTGCAGGTGAACATCTGCTTGATGTGGAAAGTCTTCTTGGGGCCTGGGATGGGGGTGAGGGAGGAGGTGTGGGGGCAGGTGTAGCACTTCCTGCGGTTGCAGGGAAAAGTGCCGGGTGTGGTGGGGCTGGAGCGGACAAGGGAGTCACGGAGAGAGTGGTCCCTCTGGAAAGCAGATAAGGGTGGGGAGGGAAAAATATCTTTGGTGGTGGGGTCGGATTGCAGATGGCAGAAGTGTCGGAGGATGATGTGTTGGATCCGGAGGTTGGTGGGGTGGTACGTGAGGACGAGGGGAATTCTGTTTTGGTTCTTATTGCGCGGACGGGGTGTGAGGGATGAGTTGCGGGAAATGCGGGAGACACGGTGGAGGGCGTTCTCGACCACTGAGGGGGGGGAAGTTGCGGTCCTTGAAAAATGAGGACATCTGAAATGTAGAGGAGTGGAATGCCTCATCCTGGGAGCAGATGCGGCAGAGGCGAAGGAGTTGGGAATAGGGGATGGCATTTTTGCAGGAAGGTGGGTGAGAGGAGGTGTATTCTAGGTAGCTGTGGGAGTCGGTGGGCTTGAAATGGATATCGGTTTCTAGGTGGTTGCCCAAGATGGAGACAGAGAGGTCCAGGAAGGTGAGAGAGGTGTTAGAGATGGTCCAGGTGAACTTAAGGTTGGGATGGAAGGTGTTGGTGAAGTGGATAAACTGTTCGAGCTCCTCGTGGGAGCACGAAGCGGCGCCGATACAGTCATCAATGTAACGGAGGAAGAGGTGGGGTTTAGGGCCAGTGTAGGTACGGAAGAGGGATTGTTCCATGTAACCTACAAAGAGGCAGGCATAGCTTGAGCCCATGCGGGTACCCATGGCCACCCCCTTTGTCCGTAGGAAGTGGGAGGAATTGAAAGAGAAGTTGTTGAGGGTGAGGACGAGTTCGGCTAAGCGGATGAGGGTGTCAGTGGAGGGGGACTGGTCGGGCCTGCGGGACAGGAAGAAGCGGAGGGCCTTTAGGCCATCTGTGGGTTATTTTTCTATACATGCTTTAATGCCCTCTTCGATTGTGTGATTGTTTTTTGAACCTGCCTCCACCACATTTCCAGGCAGTGCATTAATCTTAATGTGTGTATTCCCACATTGCATTTGTGTTTTTTTCTCGCAAATTATATTAAACCTCTGCCCTTTTGTTTGTCATTCATTTGACCAGTAATCGTTTCTCCCTGTCCCCTCAGATGCCTCAGGATTTTGGAAACTACAAAATCTCCCCTCGGCTTTCTTCTCTGAGCTTATAGAGTATGGAAACTGACCCTTCAGTCCAATTCATCCATACCAACTAAGTTTCCCAAACTAATCTAATCCTGTTCAGCCCAAATCTCTCTTAAACCCTTGCTGTTTAAATGTTGTAACTGTACCTGCATCTACCACGTCCTCTGTCTGGAAAAAGTTGCCCCTTAGGTCCCTTTTTAAGTCTTTCTCCTCTCACTGTAAAATTATGCCTTGAGCTTTGAACTGGCCTATCCTAGGGTAAAGGGCCTTTTTGCTATTCACCTTGTCTATGCCCCTCATGACGTTATAAACCATGGTGACCAAAACTGAGGAAAGCAGGGCCACCTTCTACCATCTGTCCTCATGATTAAAATGATTCAATGCTAAAATCATTGTTGTAAATCTCAGCATTCTTTCTCCAATGTGTTCACCTAGGTCTCTCTGCTCCTTTGCACCTTTCACAGAAGTACCTTTTTTATATTGTCCACATTCTTTGTATCAAAGTGTGTCACCTCACGTTCTGTCCACCCACTCCACCAATGTGTCAATCTATTTCTGTAGATCTACACTGTAATATACTTTAGACTTCCTACAACAACTCCACACTGACCCTCACAGCATCCCATCCAGACCTATAACCCACCTAATCTGCACATCCCTGAACACTACACGACAATTTAGCATAGCCAATCTACCCTAGCCTGCACATATTTGGACTGTGGGAGGAAACTGGAGCACCCTGAGGGAACCCACACAGACACGGGGAGAATGTGCAAACTCCACACAGACAGTCACCTGAGGGTGGGAACAAACCTGGGTCCCTGGTGCTGTGAGGCAGCCGTGCTAACCACTGAGCCACCATGCCGCCCTGTCTTCATAGTTTACAATTCTTCCAAGATTTCTGTCGTCTGCAAACTTTAAAACTGTTTCCTGCAAACTAATCATCAATTTTCACGTTTCAGGAAAAGTGAGCGTCCTAAAACTGATCACCAGGAGAAATCCAAACCCATTTAACCATTACCCTGCTTCCTGTAATAAAATAAAGAACTGTGGATGCTGGAGGTGGGAGCATCTATGAAGAGGAAACCACACACATGCACACGGACACATGCACATGTGCGCACAGACACGCATAGAGACACTCTCAATTTCTCACACTCTCGCGCGCGTGTGTGTACACATGCTCTTGCTCACTCACTTTCACTTGCTCTCTCACACAGACACCCTGCTTTGGCTCACTAGACTAAACGTTAACTCTGTTTTTACTTCACAGCTGCTGTCAGACCTGTTGAGTTTCTCTCTCAATTTCTGTCCATGTTTTCTATCACTTAGCTAGGTTTGTAACCATGTTGTTTCTGTCCCTTTTATTCTTTGACCCATAACTTTCATCACAAGTTTTCCCATTTGTCTTCCTTTCCTCCAGTACAGCTGGCTTGCCAGTGCCATAGGCCTAGTGCCTGCTGTACCCTCTGAGGTATCACCACCTTCACCAGTATCTTCTTCAGCACAATCTGCCTAGTCTTGTAGTGACCAGGCTATCGCTGAGCAAGTGCTGCTTCATGAAACTATCATGAACATCTGACAAGCTCAGGAGTCTAGACCACAAACGAACCAGAATGAATTATTTTCACAAAGGACATAGAGCAATTTCCCACACTCTCAGCACAATGCTTGTAATTGCACTGGAACAGCCTGGATAGGGGTGAAGCTAGGGACAGCTAAAACCCTAAGTTGTGTGAAATAGGACGAATTGGGAATGTGTGACTTTCCATAATGCATAGACCAAGTCAGAGCAGCAGCCTTTCTGTGCCTGTCAAACTGTCAAGAGTATCAGGATGTACTGGAGGGATAGTCATACACAAGGAGCAAAATAGAGCATTAGCTGATCCACATCCAGAGCCCACAGTGCTCTACAGCGAAGCAAGGCTCACAGGACTGCATTTACTAACCTCCTCTCGCCAATAACACAGTCAGAAATAGAAGATAGTAAGAACCGAAGAAGGGTCCCGACCCAAAACGTCAGCTTCCCTGCTCCTCTGATGCTGCCTGGCCTGCTGTGTTCATCCAGCTCCACACTGTATTATCTCAGAAATAGGATATGGAGTTCTTCTGGTCTGTTCAATGAGTCACCATCGGGTTCATTTCTGAACAAATTATTCAATAATTCCCTCCACACCTGATCAGACTTCTCTACTTGAGTACGTGACAATAAAGGATCTGTTCTGCTTATTTCAGGGGTTGCAGCGTATTTGAGGCCCTGGAAGAATTCAAGCAAATACTATCAGGAACTGAATTACCCACAAGTTTATTATCTGTTACATGCTTGTGGTCCATAAAATTCAAACGAAACCTTCTAATTAGCCCAGGAGGTAAATAAACCACCAGTTGTGGTACTGAGACAGAACTATGAACACTTTCTTAGATTTGATCCCAACGTTTCATAGTCAGCCATCAAAAGCCAGAGCCAAGGAAGAGTGGGTGGTGTCATGATCCCAGCTCATGGTGACAGGTCAGATCCCAACAGTTCTGAAATAGGGTCGCCGACTCAAAACATTAACCCTGTTTCTCTCTCCACATACGCTTCCAGACTGGCTGGGTTTCTCCAGCACTTTCTGTTCTTTGATGGAGCAAAAGGTTTACTCATAGAGTCATAGAGGCTTCAGGGTTATCCAACACAGTTGCCAGTCACTAAACCTGAGGCTGCCAATCTTCTTTTAATAAAAGAACTCAAGATTATTACACACAAAAGAACCATATGGACATAAACAAAAGGTTTGATCCATTTCCCAGCAATATCTTTTACATTACTGAATCCCCCGCTATCAACATCTTTGGGGTTACCATTGACCAGGAACTCAACTGAACTAGCTGGTTCCCACTGTGAAGTGGATTTGTAGTATATTGTTAGTACCTTGGAGTTGAAAGTGGAGGTAGCATAGATTGCAGACTTAAGTTCTGATAAGGTGACTTTTTTAAAAATAAAGATCAGCAAGTCATTTTGAGAACTAAAGAACATTTTCCAAGAAAACATATGACTGAAAAATGACTTGGTGAGTTGCATTGGGAGTCAATTGCAGTGACAGTGACTACAAAAACAGCTCAGTGGTGAATAATACTGTGGGGAGTAACTCCCCTCCTGACTCCCCCAAAGCCTGTCCCACCATCTACAAGGCACACGTCAGGAGGGCGATATTATCCACTTGCCCTGGATGGGTGCAGCTCCAACAACACTCAAGAGGCTTGACACCATCCAGGACAAAACAACCTGATTGATTGGCACCACATCCACTCCCTCCACCACAGGGCACAGTGGTGTCTGTAAGATGCACTGCAGAAATTGATGAAGGTTCCTTTGGCAGCATCTTCCAAACCTTTGACCACTTCCATCTGGAAGGACAAAGGCAGCAGATACATGGAAATACCACCCCCTGCAAGTTCCCCTTTCAGCCGGTCACCATCCTGATTTAGAAATATAACGCCGTTCCTTCAGCGTCGCTTGGTCAAAATCCTGGAACTCACTCCCTTACAGCATTGTGGGGTGCTCCTACAGAACACAGACTGCAATGGTCCAAGAAGGCAGTTCACCACCACCTTCTCCAATGGCAACTAGGCACGGGCAATAAATACGCTTCAGAATGGCTGTTAACCATTAAATGTGACCTGTAAATTGATTTGTAAATAAACACATCTTTGTAAACATTCAGCAATTGACTCCCAATGCAACTCATCAAGTCACTTTTCAGTCATATGTTTTCTTGGAAAATGTTCTTTAGTTCTCAAAATGACTTGCTGATCTTTATTTTTAAAAAAGTCACCTTATCAGAACTTAAGTCTGCAATCTATGCTACCTCCACTTTCAACTCCAAGGTACTAACAATATACTACAAATCCACTTCACAGTCGGAACCAGCTTACAGATAGAATTGTGACAACAGCTTACAAAGACAGTGTCCCTCCGACAGCACATCCTCAGTATAGCCCCTCCTTCAGTGCAATGCTCCCTCAATACCTTATTACAACCTTAGTTCAAACATGGGCAAATGATTTGTATTCCAGAGGTGAGATTAGAGTGACAGCCCTTCACATCAAGGCATCACTACTTGACATCAACCCAACATGGCATGAAGGAGCCCTAGAAAAACTGGAAATCAATGGGTGTCAGGGGGAAATCTCAAGCATGCCTTCAGGTATGCTTGAAGGCATACCTGACACATAGGAAGATGGTCGTGGTTGTTGGAGATCAGTAATCTCAGCTCCAGGACATCTCTGCAGGAGTTCCTCAGGGAAGTGTCCTAGGCCCAACCATCTTCAGCTGCTTCATCAATGACCTTCCCTCCAGCGTAAGGTCAGAAGATCATGTTTGCCGATGATTGCACAATGTTCAGCACCATTCGTGACTCCCCATGTACTGAAGTAGTCTATTTTCAAATGCAGCAATACCCAGGCTTGGGCTGACAAGTACTAAGTAACATTTATGCCACATAAATGCCAGGCACTGACAAACACCAATAAGAGATAATCTAAGCACCGCACCTTGACATTCAATGGTGTTACTATCACTGAATCTTCCACAATCTAAATCCTGGGGGTTATCATTGACCAGAAACTGAACTGGACTTGTCATATAAAACACAGCGGCTCAAAAGCAGGTCAGAGGCTGGGAATCCTGCAGCAAGTAACTCACCTCCCGACTCCCCAAAGCCTGTCCCACCAGCTACAAGGCACAAGTCAGGAGGGTGATGGAATACTCCTAACTTGCCCCTGGATGGGTGCAGCTCCAACAAAACTCAAGAAACTCAAAACCATTTGGGTCAAAGCAGCTCATGTGATTGGCACAACATTCACAAACTTCCACTCCCTTCACCAGTGTGTACTATCTTTAGATCCTTAGACAGGATCAACAACCACTTCCATCTAGAATGACAATGGCAGCAGATACATAGGAATACCAGCTCCTGCAAGTTCCCCTCTGAGTCACTCACAATGCTGACTTTGAAATATGTTGCCATTCCTTCACTGTCGCTGGGACAGAACACTGGAATTCGCTCCTTAAGGGCACTGAGAGTCTACCTATAGCAATGTGGACTGCAACAGTTCAAGAAACCAGCCAACCACCACCTTCTCAAGGGCAACTAAGGAGGGCAATTAATGTTGACCCAACCTGCGATGTTTACATCTGAGTGAATAAAAATACTGCCCATCATCAATTATCCCTCGATAATGCCCTTCCATCAGT